TACAATCTACAATTCAATTCATAACAATCTTAATCCACTACTTACTTTCAAAAGTAAAATTGACTATGGAGTTTTGAATAATCCAATTATTCGGGAGGTAAAACATGCAAAGTGAAACAAAATAATAATGTAATTAACTATGGTATCAAAACGATAAATAAAACCCTTATTATTTAATCAATATATTAATTAAGACTTTATTCATTATATAATGTTTCGAGTAATCAACTAACAACTTGAATTAAACATTAGCCATGCCATATTATGAACATGCATACTATGCCTCTCTGTGGTCCTCCCTTTGTGAAAATATTGAACTTGGACACTATTCCAATGATTCTCATTTCACAATTTCAAATTCTTGTTACTACTAAATGTGTTAGAATTCAACCTTACATGCAATATCCTTTAGTGATGTCTAGGCTTCAAAGTCACAGAGACTTTGCTAACGATATTACAAAATGTTCCACTGGACCTTTTGTTTTTAAAAACAATTCCATGTTAACAAAGTTTCAAATTCAAGGTACACTCCTTGAATACCTTCCATGCATTAAAGTTTCCAACTCCTTGAATACCTTCCATGCATTAAAGTTTCCAACTTACATATAGATTTTAATAAACAACTTCCATTATGGAAACATTTCCATATTTACATATAACCATCAATTATGATCAAGAATCATCCAAATCTAAATATGTCACTATGGTCCTTTCAACTAATACTATACTTCCAACTGTCCACAAGCAACCAATCCTTTGGTATAACCTCAAAATGTTCTTGACAAATGTTCAACACCATTAATCACATCTAGTTCTAGTTTTTTCACTCTGAATGCCCTAGGCATTTGGAAAAAATAGAACAAGTGAATATTATAGCACATGTAATCAATCATATATCCAAATCATATAGGGATCGATCCATTATGTCTGCATAAAGACCTGATATATGCTCAGTCTCTTGCTATAATATTTCCACTTATTGAAATTCCTATATTGAATCATTTCAACATGATATTCATATATATATTCATGACTAAGTTCTATCAAAACCTTCAATCTAAACTTTTAGATTTGAAATAAAGTATGAATGCACTCTCCCTTAAATCCTTTTATAGCGAAACAATTCCCAAACTTTGCAATTTGCAAATTTGAAATCTTTGTTTCCTACAATTAGTATTGCCAACTTGCAACACTCAGCATAACAACTATGCTCCGACTACCATAACAATTATCTTCCAATAGCACAACAATTATGCGTCCACTAGCTTTGACATGTATCTAGAAATCAACTAGACTTCTAGAAATTAAGATTATTGACTTTTTTTTTACTAAAGTGCAGATTTCTGACAGATGATGCTTCGATAAGTCTAGACTTCTCAAGCTTGTACACCTTTCATTAGATAGCATATGTGTATGTTTAAATACTTTTAAAAGTTATGGCCATATGTCCAAAAGGTTCAAACAATTCCTTTCCATTTCTCATATTTTGAACTATGAAAAGGGATGCCATAATCATATTGCAAATTTGAGAATGCAATTATCACAACCACTAACCATAATGATATTTATAAAATCTTTAAAATCTACTAGCGAAAGTGTTTCCTCATAATCATTTTCATGAATTAGAGCGAAACCATTTGCCACCTAAATTTTATGGTGTATGTGTTCCCATCCGTGTGAATCTATCATTTCCAACCTATAATCATAATACAAGGTTTACGACAAATATAAATTCTAATTTAGCTTTCATGGACTGAACTTTACTTGTTCTTAATTTCTTGCCCTCTGTTAGCACAAGGGCCTACCAGTGCTTCCATGTTGTTTAAGCAACTCACACCCATTGACCAATGTATCATCACTGACCAACATGGTCTGCCTTTAGCAGTCAAATGAGAACCATAGAACTCATAAGCATTGCCAACTCAACTGGAATGTGAAAAGAAACAAAATTTTGTCAATTTTAACATGATAGGTTATCAAACTCAGTCCGTGTGCTAGTGACAACTAAAAGGTTTATTCTTGATTGACTCTTGAAATTCTTCAAGATCATTAAGACTCCCACTAACTTCTTGACATATAAGTTTCTCTCCAAAGGAACATTGCTTGACAATCAAAAAAATATTCAAAAGTTTGTGTGGATTCTCAACAAGAAACACTTCATGGAATTGGCCTTAGTTTATCCCTTGTTTTAACCAAAACATCACAACTTCCAATTCCAAATGTGTTAGAGTAAGAAAACATTATTACTCCACATTTCATGAGGTGTTATAAACCTACTTAGTATGAAATAAGTATCAAGATACGATGTGTAGTAACTAGAGTATGACTCTAAAACTTGATTAAAAATGAAGTGTGACTCATCTCTTGATTGAACAATTTAATAATATATGATTCCTATAATTACACTAATATGTTCTTTGAGGATCAATTGAGATATAGCTCCACAATCATTAATATGATCAAAACATGATACTAAAGTACTATCCTTTCCTTTTAGATTGGAGAAAACTTTATCTTTTTGTCTAACCGATTCTTCTTATTTGTTCTGTCACTCTTTTCAAAGCATTATAATTGTGATGAATCTTATAAACACAACCATATTCACTGAAACATCAATAAATCATGATGAATAGATTTATCATCCTTTGTGGTGGATCTGAATCGTCCATATCAACATGTACTAGATCCATTAGTCCTTCACTGTGATTCACATGAACATGTGATCAAATGAATTAGTCATAATCTTCCAAAGATCAAGATTCTCACACATCACATAATTCGAATTGTATGACTCCAAGTTTCCATCCAACTGAAACTTGGGTGATGAGAATTCCTTTTCACTTTGTTAATGACAACACTACCACAAACGATATAATTTAGAATCAAATCCATATTTAACATTGCTAATAATAGAAATGAACCATCAATTTTCATAAATGTCATTTTAAGGAAATATAAAGTAGATAAATTAAAAATCACTTTTATTGATAATAAGCAGAAAATTTTTGTCCTTATAATGAAAAAAAAATGTGAAACAATGTTTCTAAACATTTCCTAAGCAATCTATTAAATTATCACAACTTCCAAGTAGTAGCTTCCAAAAACTGATCATCAAGCCATGCGACCGAAATCCATATCTCATGATCAGATTCAGCTTACTCTTCTTAAGCTTCCTTCTTTCTCTTAGATTCTTCAAAAAATCAAAATGTGATTATCACATCATGTATTAAGAATCTATGAATAGGAATTTTATTAAAATAATGGAGTTATATAATGGATGTACTTGAAGTAAAGTCACACGACTTGACTTTATCATCTCTAAGATCTTTCTAGTAGTCTGGGAAGCTTCGCAACCAATACCCTCCAATTGGCAATAGAAACATATGGACCTTTTAGGATTAGCACATGGAACTATCTCAAAACTAGCCTTTCTCTTTACTACATGGTCAAAGGGTTTGACCTTGGCCGATCCCTTTCCATTGGGAAGAGAAGCCTTTTTTGGACTACTATTATTGTCGTTGTCCATGTCCATGGAAATTTTAGACTCAAATCCTTCAAACATTTTTGGTTTACTTGTGCTCTTAAGCATTTTTGCTTCAACAACAATCAACATATGTGTCAGATCGATTAGGTTCACGTTGTGTTCGCTCATATAAAAGTTCTCAATGGACTGACTATATGACTTAGGAATGGAAAGTAAAATCAAATCAATGGTATGCTCCCTTGGGAAAACGACACCCATTCTATCCAATTTGTCAATGTGCGATTTCATTTCCAGAACATGCTCACACACAGATTTTCCATCTTGATGTCTACTTGCCAATAGGGCTTGAACAATTTCATATCTTTCAACTTGTGACATGGGGAAAGTCACAGGAGGAGGAAGAGGAATATTTGGAGAAGCATGACGTCCATTTCCACCATTGCTCGAAGAAGGGAACATACTTTCACCTTGATCAGAATGTAGAAGATCATCTTTAGAAAGTAGAGAGAAAATATTTCCAAAAGAATTAGGAAGACCATTGTTGTCTTGATTCGACATCTATAATAGGAGAAAAGAGAATTCAAGTTAGTTGATTTTAATCCTTAATTATTAACCCATCAATTTAAATTAAGGCTAGGATCCATATTTTCTATTTGAACTTTGAAGAGGGATGTCGTAATCAAATTCGAATCTATTTTAGGTAGGTAAAGCATTTACCAATTTCAATCTCATGAAACTACTAGATCACACTACTAGAAAACAGACCTTTAATGACACGCTTTTTACGACACGCACTAATTAATGATACGCAAAAGGACGTGCCCTTAAAATAGTGTTATCTCTCCAAAAAATTTAAGGATTTACGTCACGCATTATTGCATGCCCTTAATTTAGTGTCTCAAGAAAAAAAATTAAAAACACGGAGGGCGCTTTATTTTAAACGCACGTCGTCTGTACCTGTCGCTTTATAATTTTAATGAAACGCGCTTTTAGTAGACAAGGGGGGAAATGGAATCTCCAAATTTTTGAAAACCCGCCTTGTCTTTTCTATCTTGTATCTATCTTTCATCCTTGCAATCCACTCTCCCCTCTCTGATACTCTCTCCTCTAGATCTCCTTTCATTCTCTACCTCCCGTGTCTCTCTGTAAACCCTAAGCCATCGCCACCTCCCTTCTCTCTATCAAGTGCTAGGGTTTTATTTTCTTCCAAGCTTCCGCTTCTCTCATTTTCTCTCAACCCAGTACGTGCGAGGGTTATGAAATAAAGAAAAACCCAAATGCTCCACAAAGACTCCTTTATGAAAAATATCATGTAAATTCGTAGAGACGGAGTCTGAAATCATAAAGAGGAGAACAAGAAGATAAAGCGAAGGTGAATCGTAATTGATCCACGAGGTCTCCTCATTATTGGCGTCGACCAAATCTAAAACCTCGAATTCAAAAAAATTAGAAAAGTTAAAGACCCTGCCATTGAAGGGACCATTATCTAGAGATTTTTCAAGGAGTGCTCTCTGTAATGTTCTCTCCCTCATCTCACCTCCTATCGGTGACCTCAGGTCATCTTTTTCTACCGGCGACCTTGACTCATCTGTTTCCACCAGCGACCTCGGGCTCACCTCAGGTCACCGGAGACTACAACGACTGCTCAACTTTACAAGCCCTAAGTACGATTAAGGTATGTTTTTGTTTACATGGTCGGCCTTATCTTTATCTCGATACTTCTCAACAACAGTTGTCGACTTGCTCAACCGACCGCTGTTCTCCACATCTCCAACTTCTTGCCTTCCCATGGTCCGTCAGTTAGATCTAATTCACCAAAGGTATGTTTTGGGACCTAGAGACATGTGCTCTGCGCTGTGGCCCGGTTGCCCACCGCTCGGTCCTGTACTACCTGAAGCGATCTCCACATTCTCCAAATTAAACACGAATTGTTGTTTCGGGTGACAAATCTAAGAACCGAATACTTGACTAATATAGTAAGGGAACTTCTTCTATAAACCAAATGATCAAACTTTAATACAAATGATCCATCATACTCTGGGATGATGACTAATTTTTGTGTCTAACATGATTATTAAGATTATTTGGGCTGGCTAACATGTAAAATGGACACAAACATTGAGTCTTCAAACATTGAGTCTTTAAACAATACTAGACCTTCTTTTAACCTAATGACCTGTCAGAAATGGGGATGATAACTAGTTTTTGTGTCTAACAACTAACAAGATTATTAATCACTTATTGGATTCTTCAGGTCATTCCCCACCACGTGATGATATGCTTAACATGAACTTTCAGGCCCTTCCTCTAGTAGATCCCTATATACCATCAGGAACATATTTAAGGTTATTTGATCAACTTTTCTTTCTTTTGTGTTTTGTCAGATCAGATGCTTATGAACCCATGCAATTCACTTATGTTTTGCTCTGTATGTTGAACTTTCACCAGAAATATGGGGACTCCTCATTCCAGGATTGTAAGAAACCACCAAGTCTAGGTTTTGAAAGCCCTTCTAGGCTTCTTAATGGTGAAAGCTTGAAAGTCGAATCAATTGCTGATTTTGATCTCTTCTTTAAGAGGCTGTATAGCTACTACTGTGAAAAATGTCTATGTTGCATAATCATTAAGTGGATTGTTGAACTTTTGAGTTTGGCTTTTACCATATGTTTTTTGGGTATTTGACTTTTTTTTCTTATTATTTGTTGATTGGAATGGTCTTCGAAGTGAAAACTATGGCATGCTGAACAAAGGGGTGCTAAGCTTCCTGATATCTTCATGGGTCCTGGGTGCAGGGCCCACCATCAAGAAAGGTCCAATCTACTTTCCAAATCACCAGGTTTTCTGTCTTTTTTCACTTAATAGTCAAGCATAATTTATATATTTAATGTTCTAATGCTTTGATTTTGATTTGGATGAAACCTATGTTGATACAAAGTTATATGTATAGATTTTGGTTTAGAATAAAGATTTATTTTGGGTTTACTCTTTTGGGAAAAAAAGACTTATTTTGGGTTTACTATAATGGTAAAAATCGTCTTTAATTGTGAATTTTAGTTAACTAATAAGCCCTTCTTTGTTTCCTGGTTGTTCCTATCCTAAGAGTTGGTCTTGCATCTGTTTTGACATTAAAAGAAACATCTAATAATATTATTATTGTTTATATTGTAGCCAGAATCAGCACCAGGGTACTCTTCAAGCTGTCTATTAAGCTCCATATTTGTTCACTGATCAACAATTTCCTTAAAAGGTTAGTATCTTTTCTTCAAATTGTTCTTAAAAAAATTTGTTCCCAAGCCTTATGTGTCTAAATTTAGTTATATTCCTAAACGATATTTAAATATGAATTGTTGGAGAAAAGAATTTTATATATCGAGGAATTGCTCAAGACCTTTGTACAGATGGGTGTAAAAGATTAACTTATTGCCACATATCTATTGAAACTGGAGTCATTGCTCAGGTAAAAACATTTTAAAATTCTTTTTTTATTTAATAAAAACACTTAGTTTATGCTCTTAATGAGCTTAATTAATGACAGGAAAATGGTTCAGCAAGAGTGAAGATGGGTAAAACTGAAGTCATAGCTTTGACTTGTCTTCTCAACTTGTTGACCAATACCCCACAGAAAAAAAGTATTAAGAAAGAAGCTTGTTGGACTATATCAAACATTTTGCTGAGTTCTGATGACAGAGGCAGGCTTCTTAGCTTTAAGAAGAAAGACCTTATATGGGTAACCATACCATAACATGTCGTACTTCCTAATGCTATATATATATATATATATATATATATAGTATAATACAATCTTACTTTTTTTTTTGTGGTGTACAGGTTTGTCCATAGGCAGCAGATGTAATGGAAGTCTTTATCCATCTTGGAGAGCCTTGTCATGTTTGTCAGCTTCTTGTGCAGATAGTTCAACATATACATCAAGAGTTGATGTGAGAACTGGATGTGATCTAGATGGGCTTAAACTTGTTGTGGAGGTCGGTCTGGCTCATCTCTCCCAAATCGGGCTAATTCCTAAAGTAGTAGTTGTATAACAAAGGGTGTGGTTGTGTGCAGGGAGCCTCTATTCCTGAGTGTGCTAATGGGACAAGCATTGTGATACCCATACCAGGAGCTGTGAGTGATGAGGATATGGCTGTGACAGGAGGAGGTACACGTGTACATGACCAAGATACATCCAAGCTTCCATTTTTATCTGATTTTGAAGAACTGGAGGGCGAATTGGATTTTCTAACTCGTGTGGTTGTACTCACATTCTATCCTGCTGTGCCAGCCAGAACCCCTATCACACTTGGTGAGGTACCGTACATTGACAACTTTACTTCCCATCATCTCACTTTATTTTTTCTGAGGTTTTTCATTCTGTGAAGTTGATTGCTATTTTGGTTCGGTTATGGATGTCATAATAGGTAGAGATACTTGTAATTTCTCTTCCATGAAGAGACCTTTTTACTTCTAATATGAGGTTATGGGAACATATCAATAAATCAAACAAGATACTCATACCGTTACCATTACCAACCCTTTGCCCTCATCTGATGCAAACAACAATTCCTTTTCTACTGATGATAATTCACTAAAATCCAAAAATTCCAGTACCTCCTGGGTAAACCTGTTATCGGGTGATGACATTATATCTGTTTCACAACCAATGCGACAAACTACTTTACATGATCCATTTCTCAACCCATTTCATGATCATGATGAAGCAAGTGAGCCTCCTCCACGTAAGGTCTTTGTACCTGTACCAACTGAAAGTGGTTCATAACAGTATATAAGTTTTTTTAAGTTGTCAAAACAATTCTTTAATTATGTTATGTTAAGATTTTATGGTATATAGTTTTTTATATAAACATTTAAGTTGGGGGTGATTCTTTTATTTCATTAGTTTTTATTTATTTATATTTTTGAACTTTTTTATTGATATACAATATTATTTTCTGAAAATAACTAGATATTAATTCTATCTAGGTTGTAATCAGCTTTTGTTATGTTTGTACTTTGTTGATAGCAGTCTGAATTAGGAAGACCAAGTTCTGCCTCGAGACTCATAACTTCAGGTATGATAAGTTTTTGATACAACTATTCATAAAAATTGGAGCTTATGTGGTAATATATATGTGAACAGTTAAAAGGTTTTAGAAAATATCATTTCTTATGTATTAGAAAGATTAGAGAGAACCAGATATAAATTACAGTTGGTCAAGGTTTTAGTGTCAGACGGGTGTTACCTGTATCCGAAAATAAGAGAGAAGGAGTTGAGTTGAGTTGAGTTGAGGGAGAACTGATGTAGAATAGATTATGCAAGATCAACAAACCTGATCGCAATGCCATGAAGGGAGCTCGGGCTGCTCGATTACACCGTAACAAAATGGTAATTTGATTATCTTACTGGAACTTGCCATATATTAATGTTCCTTTTTGAATTGAATCATAAAGAATGACTTAATAAAGAAAGTATGGGGAATTAGGCTTTACCCTTTAATTCCCGAATTTTTACATATTTTCCCCCATTGATTGTTTGGTTTGAATGATGTAGATGAGAGAGCAGAAGAGAGCTGCCCTTTTGAAAGAGAAAAGGACTACAAGTGCAACAATGTGAATATTTCTGGTTCCAGTTCCATCTCTATTTTGCAACTTTATGTTTGTTATAAAGTTTGTCAAAGGTATAGATAGATACTTAACTCACAAAATTACATGACCAATTCTACAATTTCTTGGCAATTCAAGCACTGATAAAAGAAATAAATAGTTTATACGAAAGTAAACACATCTTAAATATTTGGACTAATAACTGTTGAATACTTGTTTCTAAATTTATCATTAATTTTTTTATATCACAAAGAGTCAATCTGTCTTGTTGGAAAATTAATTAAGTAATATTTCATCATAGATTCATCGAACCTTGGTGTAATTATGGAACCTTCATTGGCTGAACTGTATCACAACTTAAGAAAAGATCTCGCTGAGTTATTCCAGTATAAAGTAAGTAATGTATCCTCTCTTATTCATTATTACTAAAATAATGATCTGGAACACTTCTTGTATAAAACTATACATAATCGGTGTGTTTTATTATGATTACAATAGTAATAGAGTTTTTTGAATAAAGCAGTTTTTTGATACTTCTGTTTATGGTAGTGGGTTTCCACGTGCAGCTGATGAAAGACCATCGCCATTGGTATGTATAGCTTGAGTGCATCTGTGCCTTAATCTTAATTCAGTTTTATATTATCTTATTGTCAAGTTTGTTTAGTAAGCTTAAGAAGAGTAAACATGGTATCCTTATCTCATTTGCAGTCAAACCACAAGCTTTCGGGGCCAATTTAGTTGTTGAGACATTTTTTGAATTCAAATACCTTCTTGTGTATAAGATCAATAGCAAATTCAGTACTTTCTTGTGTATAAGTTCTATTACAAGACAAACATATTTTTGATCCCTTTGAGATTTATCCATTTGTCTACTATTAGAATGATTATTTGTATGACAATAACTTTTGTGCAATGTATTATATTTTTTGTATATGGTATTTTATTTTCTATTAGGAGACATGAAATGGAAATTTAATTTGAAAATTAGTAAATCTATAAATATTTTTTTTTAAACATTTAAAATTATGATACGCAAAAATGTGTTTCATCTTCATTTATGACATGGCCTTTCTTGACAGGGGATTTCTTGATACGCATTGCATGTCATTAACACACTGTCGTAAGGTTACGACATGCGAATGCGTGTCGTCTTCCTTTATGACAGGGCATTTCTTGATACGCATTGCGTGTCGTAAATGCGCGTCGTAATTGCACGTCGTAAATGAGCGTCGTCTATAGACGACACGCAAAAGCGCGTCGTTTCTCTTTATGACAGGGCCTTCCTTGACGCGCATTTGCGCGTCGTCTGAGTCCTTTATGACGCGCAATGAGCGTCGTAAAAGGCTGTTTTTCTAGTAGTGTCATTTGAGATTCAATGAATCTAATCAATGGCATGTTTAATCTCGATTATGCTCTCACTTTTGTGATTAGGATGCCGGTGATCATCAACAATATGTGAATAACCACACAAATTAGCTTGGTATTCTCGATGTCATTTATCATCTCCTTTTTAATGTGCCGGTTAACCACACACACTCCATTAATCAACGATAATTTTCGAGACACCCATTACCACCCTTTATTAGTCCCATATTAGTGTGATGGTTAGCCACACATGCTTGACTAATGACTTATAAAGTGTAATGTGCAATTTTATGGATTAGCATCAAATTCACATTTTTCCTAAAGTAACTAAGAGTGGGATTTTAGAGAATTGTTTAGTTCCTTTTTATCATTATTCCTTTAATGAGGTTATGTCCTATCAAACCCGTTTAGCTAACGATCATTCACCAATCAAGGGAGCGGTGGATAAGAATGGATAACTAATGGTGGTCATTTTATAGTCTGCTTTCTTAAACACCCCTTATAGATCGGTTTCGTGAATGAGATGTACTAGCGGTTCGATTGAATAGTCTTATACATTTAGTAAATATTAAACATTTAATTTTACATATAATATAAGGAGTATTTTAAACTTTTCAAAATACAAAGTTTAATTTATTAAATTTCAAAATTAAAATTTAATTTAAATTTAAAAATTAAACTAATTGATTTAATAACTATTTTATTAATTAAATATTTAATTAATTTATTAAATCAATTGAGTATTATCCAATTAAATTAATCAAGATAATTTAATTCTAATCCTCTCCCCCTGATTTTCAAAAATGTGGTAGGGATAAAAGAATCTTATAATTATCCAATTAGTCAAATAATTAGATAATTACCAAAAATAAGAAGATCCTTATAGAAACCCTAATTTCTGAAAATGCTTATCTTAGGGAGGAAGGCAAGGATTTCAATCCTTGCCATTTTCGAAATTCTAGAGGGTTAAAGAAACCCTAATTCGAAACCTGTAGGGCAAGGGAAAGAGTTAAAACCCTTTCCTAATTTTCAAAACATTAGGGCTTAAGGAACCCTAATTTCGAAATCCTTGTCTAATAAGGTTTAGTTTTCATAACCCTAATTTGGTCAAATTAACCATTGCAATCAATTCAATAGAAAACAATCCAAGGCTTTAATACCACTCATGGCTTTAGAGCATAACAAACAAAAACCTATGTGTGCATGCAACCCCAATTCTTGATCTATGTTTTCTCTAATTGAACATACAACTTTGAACACAAAGTAAGAACCCTAGAGATACCTAGGTATTTTTGAAAATACTAAAGAAAGGTTTAGTGTTACATACCTTTAAGTTATTATAGCAAACAACTAAAATTCTCCTTTGAAGATCTCTTGGAAGCAAGCACCACAAATGACGTGCCTCTGATGGTTCACACCCAAGCTAGCAAGAGAAAAACTATATATATATATATATATATATATATATATATATATATATATATATATATATATATATATATATAGAGAGAGAGAGAGAGAGAGAGAGAGAGAGAGAAGACCAAGATTTTTTCCAGGGCTCTTAGAGCGAAGGATTTGATGAAATTACGTGCTAAGGAGGCCTTTATATATTTGAGGTAGCTTGGTGCCAAAGGTAGGTTTTAAGGAGGAAACCCTAATCTTTTTGCTTGGTGACCGAACAGCCCATTTCCTTCCTTATGCAAGGGCTTGGACGAAATTCCTTGGGCCTGACCAAGTGATTTTCGTCCACCTCATCCAATGAGGTCCGTAGACTCCTTTCCTCAACTCTCAATAAATAACCAAACAGACCCTTGCACTTTTAATTAATCCAATTAATTCCAATTACTTATTAATTAAATAATATGATTTCCAATTAATATATTATTCTCACAATATATTAATAAATCATTTATAATGATTTCTAATTAATCTATTAACCATATAATAAATTTATAAATCATTCTCTCTCTTTTCTCTCTCTCTCTCTCTCTCTCTCTGTTTCCCTCTCTCTAATTAATCTATTAACCAAAAGGTCTATGATACTTTCGATTCAAGTTCATGCCAATTATACTTATGATCTTAGACATATAATCCAACACATATCACTATGGATTTCATCACCAAGTTACCTCGGACGTCTAAAGTATTCGATGCGATATGGGTTATTGTTCAACCATTCGAGAAGGTTCTTCAACCAAGAAATTGGCCGATTTATATGTATGAGATATTGTTACTCGACATGGTAATCCAGTCTCCATTGTATCTGATCGAGATGTTCGAATCACATCTCATTTTTATCAGAAGTTTCACGAGGAACTATGTACAAGGTTGCATCTTAGCACTGCATATCAGACGTAGACTGACGGTCAAAGTAAGCAGAAATTCCAACACTTGAGGACATGATGAGGGCATGTGTTATAAACTTTGGTGGGAGCTAGGACTCCTACCTTCCCTTAATTGAGTTTTCTTCCAACAACTATCACTCCAATATCGATATGCCACCTTTCAAGCTTCTTTATAAGAGGAAGTGTCGTACCCCATTGTGTTGGGGAGAGATTGGATATAGGGTATTGGGAAGGACTGAGGTAGTCCTTCAGACATCGGATCTCATTCAACAAATTAGCCTAATATTACAGACAACTTAGAGTCGGTAGAAGAGTTATGCTAACAAACGTCAATCTGATTTGGAATTTTAGGTCGATGTCATAGGAAAATTGGGGCCCCAGTATATCGAGCCATGTGGAGGGACTAAATGTGTTAAGTGAGCATAAGTTTGAAAGGAACACAAGACTTAAACCTGTCACTCCGTTCCTTCCTGTTTTTCTTTAAACATGTCTAACCCTAACCCCGTCTTCCAGCCGCCAACTTTGAAACTTCAGCCGCCACATGCAACACAAGCTTCGTCGCTGCCGCTACAGTACCGTTGAACGTCGCCCTCGTGATGCCTGCTGCCAGAGATTTCGTGGGTAACCAAAGGATCGCCGAGGAGAGAGGAATGATGTTGTGTTCGTCGATTGGGTGTCGAGAACGGTTGGGAAGCCATTAGTAAGGTAAACCGCAACCCAACTTCATCTCTCTCTTCTCCCTATCGTCCCTCATTGTGTTGACGTCGTAGACAACATTGTTGCCGCCGGTGTTTCTTTTGGCCATTGATCTCATTGTTCCGACGACGTCAGCCACCCAGGAGGTGGTCGGACCTTTATGTGCTCACATATATATGTTGTTTATTGTGGCCTTGGATTTGTTTACGAAATTGATAGCCGAAAAACCCACCACCACCATTAGAAATGGTGGCTACCGCCATAACATTCTTTTCTACCACCACCAGCCACCATGAGGAAGTGGATGTGTGCGTGATTTGGTGTGTGTGTGTGGGCCTAGTTCGTGAGTTTAATGTGTATGGATATTACTGGACAGGGAAAAAACAAAAAAAATCATCACCACCGCCTGTTGTCGCAGTTCCGCCACTACTAGCCACCATCTTGGGTGGATGTGGGCTTTCGGGTGCGTTTGGATTGATGTTGGAGTGCTTTTGGTGTTGTGTTGTCCCAAGAACATAACCACCACCACGCGCCACCGCCGGCCACCGCAAGGGTGGTTGCGTGTGTGTGTTTATTCTAGTGTAGTCTGTGTGCGTTTATTTTGGTATTTTCATTGTAAATTGTAAATGGAATAACGGAAAGAAATTGAAACCACCACCTTAGGGTGGTGGCTGCCGCCACCCGATCTTCGTGTTGAGTGGCGGTGTGCCTTGTTGGATCATGACTCGTGTGGATGTTTGGACAAAAGGACTAATAAACCCTAATAGGTCCAATAAGGCTTAATGGGCCTAATAAACCCTAATGGGCCCAATGAAGCTTATTGGACCTAAAAGCCCAAACAAATGACTAATGGGCCGAGTGAAACATTAATGGGCCTAATGAACCTTAATTGATCAACATACATATCAATTGAGCCTATTAGGCTAAGATGGGGTTGGAAACCCTAATTAGGGTTTAGAAAACCCTAATATTGGATTTATGGGCTTGGACTTATCGGGACCTACTGTTGGGCCATTGGAATAGAATTGTGTATTAAGCCCAAACACACCATATGATTTATTTATAAGAGTGATGGACTTAATGGATTAAGTCCTAAATGGGTTAAGTGAGAAACACTTAACCCTAATCATCATTTATGTGAAACCCTTATCCCACTTGGGTTTATTGTTGGGCCTTTCTATTGGGCCATGATGATTGGGTTATATATGGGTCATCCAAGAATAATCATATGAACTAGAGTAATTACATGGGCTTTAGGGTAAGGCCCATATGTGAGGGTTTGGCCCTAATATGGAAAATTGGGCCATAGATGGGCCATAATTGGGCCTTTAT